GGGGGGCGGGGTGTGGGGTGTGTGGTATTTCCAATTCTAGTTCCATTCCCCCATAAGCCTGCTACTGTTTTCTTTTCAGTGTCCTCATATAACTGCTCCATGAATTCTGTCCAAGGTTGTTAGTTGTATTCAGTGTGAGACATAGGGTGGAGTTTATTTACTCCATACTGACAGGAATCACACTTCTCATTACTTTTTTGAACAATTAGCACCCTTGAAGAACTATGAAAGTGCTTTACATATAGTATTTCACTTAATCCTCAAGGAAGCAATTAATTATCCATACTTAAAGTATTTGCCTGTAATGCAGGAGACCCGGGTTTGATCCCTGGGTCGGGAAGATCCCCTGGTGAAGGAAGTGGCAACCCACACCAGTATTCTTGCCTGGAGAATCCCATGGACGGAGGAGCATGGTAGGCTACAGTCCACGGGGTCACAGAGAATCGGACATGACTGAGCAACTAACACACACACATAGGTTGGGAAAGGGAAGCTTAGAAAGGTTGTTTGCCACATTTGCACAGATTGTAAGTCCCATGGATAGGATATGGCTTCAAATCTGTGAGAATCCAAAGTCTATCTCTTCAAGGTGGTTATTAGATGCCAACTGAGTTTGAGTAAACTCCAGGAGTTGGTGATGGACAGGGAGGCCTGGCGTGCTGTGATTCATGGGGTTGCAAAGAGTTGGACATGGCTGAGCGACTGAACTGAACTGAACTGAATTTCCTAAAAAGTACTGTTGGGAGCAGTAACCCCTGAAAACCCTGCATGTTGAAACTATTGGTAGTTTTCAGATTTGAAGGGCAGCTTGGATGTTTGTAATATTCATACCTCATATTTTGTTTGCTTGTTTATCTTGTGAAAGTTGCTGTGTCTACTATCTACTGGTATTGATTGTCACTATGAAGATACCTAATATATGACATTTATTTCTCTTCACTTGAGTGATTAGGTCATTTAGGTTGGCTCTCAAGTGATTCTGTCTTTATCTTTAAAAACTAATGATTTTGCTATTGTTTTTGGCTATTCTGAGTCTATTATTTCTGGCACAGTGTACGTCTTCCCCACCAACCCCCAAACTGACAAAAAAAAATTAGATTTTTTTACTTATATCTTTTGTGCCCCAACTCCTTCTTTCCCCTAGCGATATCACCAAACTCTATCTTTTCCACAATTAAAAAAAATTGTCTCAGGCTAGCAACAAAGATTGCCTGTTTCTAAGCTATACAAAACATAAAATTATACCAAGAAATATCAAATTTACCAGAAAATAAAGGGATCAGGATTTTGAAAAAGTGAAGACATGTTAATAAAACTGATTGTGTTTGGAACTAAGTTAATGCAGAGGCAAGACTGAAGCTTCTTTGGAACTTAAAAGTTCCAAAATACATTCCATGGGCCGAATTGTGTTTCCCCAATTTCCTAGCCCCCAGCATCTCACGATGTGACTCTATTTGGAGACAAGGCTATTAAAGAGGTGATTAACAACATCTTTTCTGTTTGTCAGGTTGTCTCTTATTGAGGGTAGTTTTACTACATAATGCTTTAAAATATTTCTGCTTATATTTTCTTTCTTAAAGACTCACCCCGTTTATGCTTGCTGGATCTTTTTTTCAGCATCTCTCATTTCCCTCTAATTTGTTCTTTTAGATTTTCATCTTCTCATATTTGCTTTTCTCACTTGGATACTCTATGCCTCCTATTGTGTTACCACAATCTATTTTCAGTTGTGGTATTTTTTCCCCTAAGTTCTGCCAGTTGACTTTTCATCACTTCCCATTGTGTCTTCATCTCTTCCCTGATTTCTTTCACTCTTGCCCTGTGATCTTCCATACAGAGATAAGCACTTTTTAAAATTTTTGAAATTTAATTTGTCACAAAATTCTTACTAACAATATTTGTCTACGGGCAACATGTTCCTGGTGGTGATATTTGTATTAATGAGTTTTGCTGCTCTTTTTAAAATTCGTTTTAATTTGGCTTATAATACATTTGTGTCCTTGCTATGCCAGCCTTTTTAAAAAATTTACTCTTTTAATTAATTATCATTAATGAGGTTGGTTTTCATAGACTTGAAATTTGTAGTAGGTCCTGGGACCTGTAGCAGGTCCCAGGCTGAGAGCCTGGGACGTGCGATCAGTGTGGCCTTCAAGTTTTACAACCTGTAGAGACGGTCTTCTTTTAGCAGAAAATGGCTCATAGGTGTGATTCTTTATGTAGTCCTGCCTCAGATGTTTCTCTGAAGCACATGAGAGCTTTCAGTTGCCAGCCTTGTTCACCCTGTGTAGCATCCATAGGTGTAAATGAAAGATAGAGTGCTTGGACCGTAGGGTGAGCCCCTCATCTTTAGTGAGCGTCTCTTTGCCAGCACTTTCTGAAATGCTGCTGCTCTCTGCATACTTAGCAATTTCTCTTTGTAACTTTGGTCCAGTCTCTGCCATTTGCTGCCCCTCATCATGGTTTGTAGGCTGCAGGTTAGGTCTACCTTGGGGTTATTTGTTTGTGCAGTTATTTCCTCTTACTTTCCTGGTTGTTCTTGTATAATATCCAAGAACAAAGAGGGTGAGATACNTAATATCCAAGAACAATGAGGGTGAGATACTGACTTTTATAGTTATGTTTGTATGGGACATGGAGAGTTTGGGTTTTCTTTTTTTTAAGTCCAAATGTATAAAGATGCTTCTATACTGTGAGGTTTTTTCAATGTTTGTGTAGTTTCTTTGTTTCGTATTTTTTGGCTTAGTATTTAAAGTGGCCCTCAGTCCAGCACAAATCTCATTCTACTTTCCTCTCCATTATGTATCTTACACTTCTTTTAGCCCTTTCTAAATTACTCAGAGTGGCCAGAAGAGTAGCTCTCTTTCTCCATACTTGTATTTACTTTGTTCCCTCTAGTTGGCTTTCCTTTTCTCCTTTGCAAATGTTTCCTCATCTCCATAGTCCTCTCTATCAATGATAATTCTCTCTGGGCTTCAGGGTCTATCTCAAATAGCAACCAATTCTTAAAATCTTTTCTCTGATATCTGTGTATTGTTATAATCTCATTATGTGTTTAACCACCATTTACATGGCTCATATTCTCTTAGAACAGATCCTATTATAGATGATATTTGGGTTATTTGGCTACAGCTCTCACTTTCTACCAGTTGGAAGGAAGACTGTGACTTAGTCATATTTGTGCCCCATTTATACCTGAGTATAGTGTGTAATGTATATTCAATAAGCATTTGTTAAAATGACAAAATTTAGCAAAAGGCCAAAAAAATTTTTTTTGAGTGCAAGACACAATTTCCTTCTGCTTCTCACTAACACATATAACCATTCATGGGGTTAATTTGGCTGTCTTCTGAAGCCACAGATCCCTGCAGATCAAGCTATCTTATAAGGATGTGATGGCAGATGTACTTGTTTAGTCATGCAGACAGTCACACTGTGTTTTGATGATTTTAATTGTTTTATTTCAATACAGAATAATTTGTTCTTTGTTTTGTATGAGTCCTTGATAGCTGTTAAGTAGATGAAAAAACAAAAATGGAAAATGCAATCTTCTTTAGTCTTCTCCTGTTAACAGTAGATTTCTATCATGATATAAATACATTAATAGATGCGCTCTGTTAAAACTTTACTTCTAAATTTAAATTGAATTAAAAGGAATAGAAGAAGCTTAAGCGAAAATTTTCCCAGGAGACTCTTGGTTTTAAAAGCATCCACATTTCAAGAAGTGAAAATTGAAGATTTCTCCCCACTGTTTCATTTAATTGGGTCTTTTACCAACTACAATTTATATGTCACTTTCTACACCCTTTTGCAGCATTGAAAGCAATATTTGATGAGAAAAACCTGTTTCCCAAAGAAATTCTGGATCGTGAAAGAAGAGCCAAGCAGTTACGTCAAGAAACAAGTAGTAAAGTGAAGATAAAAGGAAATAAGAAACCATGGTAATTGAAAGAAAAATAAATATTTCATCATTGCATGAAGTATGTATATAAAATGCACAAAAAATGGAATCAAGAATATTGCTCCTTTCTTTTACTCTATATTTGAACTCCAGGAAAATTCATTTTGGAACAGTGTTTAAGTGCTGCTTTTATCCATCACCTTTCAATTTCTCTCCTTTTTTAATAGAAAAATATGATTAAAGAGGGGACAATAGCAGCTGGTGTCTATTCTCATGTTGCTATATAAAAGTTCCAACTTTTTTCCCAAACAATTCCAGAACAAAGTATTCTAACCAGTCACACTTTTTGTTGCTCCTATAGACAAATATGTTTGTTCAATTTTCATTGTAAAATCAATTTGCGTTGAAGTTAAATATGTACTGACACAGTGAATATAAACTTGACTAAGAAAAGCATTCAGGGTTATTTATGCTCTTTTGGTTTTAAAAAATGATTCTGATAATGCAATTAAAACTTGTCAGTAAAAATTATTACTACTAAGTTTTTAATGACATGGCCATCCTTCCAGGTGCTTATTGAGAAATCACTGCACATGCTCTATACTTTGTTATGCGCTGCGCAGTACTTAGTCCCTCAGTTGTGTCTGACTTTGTGACCCCATGGACTGTAGCCCACCAGGCTGCTCTGTCCATGGGGATGCTCCAGGCAAGAATATTGGAGTGGGTTGCCATGCCCTCCTTACATTTTGTTATACTGTTCTCTAAAATTGAGTGGCATAGCACAACCAAATAGGGAGTGGCCTTGGGGAAAAATAGGGCACTGGGTTGTATAAAATACTCATTTTATGTGGAAGGTCAAGTAGGGACTATTTGGTTTGGCTTATGAAAGAGAATTCATGGGAGATACAAACTATTCTCAAATATTTCAAAGCTGCCTTGAAGAAAGAGGGTAGAAGTAGAACTGATGGGCACACTTGTAAGAAGGCAGATTCTGGAATGTCTTCCTAATCCTTGTTAAAACTTGAAAAGCTTTCTTATTTTCCCTTTCCTTCCCATCTTCATTTCTCATCTTGATACAGAATTATTGGCAGCAGTCCTGCTGCATGGCTAGGGAAGAAAGTAGGAGGACCTGAGAGAAAACTCAGCAGAGATAAACTGGACCCAAGAGTATGGGTGGGGGAGGTTAGTGGGAAAGGGTATTGGTGGATGGGAAGGAAGAGGGTTGAGCAGAAGTGATGACCAGCGTAGATGGGAGATCGGTTATATTATAAATAAATATTGAATAAATAAATGAATAAATTAGTAAGTATATTGAGAATAATGAGAGCCAAGTATCTCATTGTTATAGAAGGTATTTATAGGACTTCCCTGGCGGTTCAGTGGATAGGAGTCTGCCTGTCAATGCAGGGAACACTGGTTCAATCCCTGGTCTAAGACGATTCCACATGTTGCAGAACAGCTGAGGCCCTGTGCCACAGCTACCGAGCCCCTACTCTAGAACCTGCAAGCTGCAACTAATGCTCTCACGTGCCACAAATACTGAAGCCCTCGCACGTGTAGATCACATGCTCTGCCACAAGAGAAGCCACTGCAGGGAGAAGCCCAGGCGCTGCAAAGAAGAGTAGCCTCTACTCCGCTCAGCGCAACTAGAGAAAGCCCATGCAAAACAACGAAGACCAAGTCAGCCAAAATAAACAAACAAATAAATAAAGGTATTTGTGAAATTTGAAAGGAAGAAAACTAGAAAGAACCTTGAGATTTGGGCTTTGGATTATAGACATCAGTTTGAACTCATGATTTTAGCTAACTAGCTAGCTAGATAAAAGAATGAAATTTTTAGGAAAAATTCAAAATTGTGATTGCAGCTTATTCGCAAATGATTCAGAAAGTACTAATTATAATGTTTATGTATTTATGTACATAAAAACACACCACATATATTTATCTACACATACACCCATATATATATATGTGTGTACACACACACACAACCTTAGTACAAAGGGCTCCTTGAGATGTTAAAACAGAGGCTGAATAACTCTCACGGGGAGTTTGCAGAGAATTCTTGCACTGGTTGGGAGGTTTGACTGGATAATCCATCATTTCTAACTTAGAGCATATGATCTATGAATCATAAATTGGTGACAATACAGTGGAGTGAAATTTGAGCCTTATTTCCAGAAATTTAAGGGAATATTAAGATGTTAAAGAGATGTAATATGGGTGCCAAAACACTTTGAGAAGTTCCTTTCCGCATCCATCCATCCTTGTATCCATCCAACCAATTATCGAAGGCATATATGCAAGGCACTGTTTTCCATACCAGTTTTATGCATATAAATAGAGTACACGTTTCCTGCCATCAGCTTTCTTGAGTGAAGGTACATAAAATGCAATGACTCTAAAGTGAAAATTGAATGAAACTTCTAGTTTTTCTGTTGTAATTTGGAAATTCTTTTATTGGACCTATTTTATACTTTTTTAGCCCTGGAGGTGACTTTGTTTGAAGTGATGATTTTGAAGTAGCCTGGTTCATGTAGACGGAACTTCTCTCTGTATTCTACTGTATGTGTGTGGCTCTCTGCTGTGTGTGACCCTAATTCCATCCTTAATTAATTCAGGGCCTCTTTTATAACAGGAATTAAGAAGAGCTGTCTCACAAGTATATTTAATGAGAATAGAGCTTTTAAGAGTATGAAAGTCTCTTTTAATGGTACTGGTTTTAATAATTTAGAAGAAAAGCACAAAAGGAAAAAATAAAAAGACATTTAGTTATCATGTCTTACAGAAACTAATTGTGCTAGGCAGGTAGCAGATATTAAAAGAGCTTAAACCAGGGAAGAGAAATTCATGACCATTGTTTTTTACTCCCCAAGAGACAGGAAAATATACAATCTGCTTGAACTGTTCTATCATAAGGTTCTTACCTAACAACTTCATTAACTAATGTTACTAAGACAGACTGTCTGTCTCTGTCATTGGAAGGGAAAGTAATGAGCTGTCCCTGGGTAGATCACATTGTAATCTGAGTAATGTACAGACATAATAATTTGGTAGCCAAGGGTCTTTGTGATGGATATTTGCTGGTGTTACTACATGGGTAGAAGAGCATTGATTGAATAATAGTCTTAGGCATTCAGACTTATTTTTGAATTGCAGAATAGAACAAGAGGCATGATAATGTTGCTAAAATTAAGAATTTTAGTAAATTAAGAGATCATGTCCTTTGTCATCAGACTTCTCAGTCCTGAGCTATTGCCCTGTTAGGACACTGAAAGAGGTTAACAGGGTCCTTGCAGAAGTATTTTTTTTTAAAGAATTTTAGAAAGGTATTTACATTCATTGTATTTCTTTCTCATAAGGCTATCAGAAATAATATTACATTTAGTGATCAATAATGAATATTTGTTTAATTGAAACTAGGCCAAATGTTCCTTTTCTGAGAGGCCTCTGATAAACCAATGTGCTTCATATCTGATTGCCATTGATGTGATTGATTTGAATTAGAAAAATGAGGTAAAAACCCATTCAATTATGCATACATTTTTATTAATAATCTGTATTTAGAGAACATCATATAGCATTTTTTTTCATATAGCATTTTAAAAGCATCTAAAAGTAACACCAATGTTTATTATCAAATTATTTATATTTAATAATATTATCTTGATAATTTGGTAAATCAATAATCTTAATCTGATCTTTTTGCTCTACATAGAGACTGTATGTATTTCTTCAAGATTCACTCCTTTTCCTAAGGCTTCAAATGGGCCTTTTATCTACAGGAAGCTCCTCTGACTATTGTATAATTTGATGAATTGTTGAGTTCTCTGTAAACACAGCAGTAATTTGTCTCTGCATTTTGGATTTGATTTAGCTTTATTCTTTTCCTTATAGGCATTCTGAAATATTTACGATGAAATACACTGGTAATCTGATGTGAGATTCCTATAAAAAACAAAAAGAACTAATTACTAGCAAATTTACAACTGCTGGCACATTCTTCCACATTTTGTTTCTACTTACTGTGTGTATGTGTGCGTGTTGCTCAATCGTGAAATAATGGATGAAATAATAATTCAAACTTAATGATTTTTAAAAACTCTATTGTTTTATCCCTTGATGCTTGCAAATTTCATAATTGATCATTAACCTGGTCATGTTAGCCCTTCTGTACCAATGTGAACACCTGCTCTGGTTTTAGAGGAATTAATTGGACAAATGTTCAAGGTAAATAGAGTTGGCCTTGTCTGATCAGGTGTTCTATGTACTAGTGTTTCCCAGCAGGTACATTTTAGCTGTAACATTACAGTGAGTAGTCAGAAGCCAATTTTGGGGTAAGTATCTTAAAATTAAATAGCTTTTGAATGAAGTATGTATGCAATAACATTGACCATGAGTGTTTAATAGAGCAGAGGAATGGCATTTCAATTCACTTTGGTGCAGGTATAATTTAAATTTATCAAATTAACACATCATTTTATTTTCCTTGAAAGACTAAAATTTCCTTAAATTTTCACTATCAGTTTGAAGGTCAGATTCTTATAGAACTATTCATCAGGTTGCTTAGTTCACCAGTCCTTCATGTTTTCTGATGAGGTACAATCTAAAACCCAAAGAGGTAAGTGAATTTTAAAAACATCTTTTTTTGCATGAGCTTGTAGTTTATTAAGTGTCTAAATTTTTTCTGGGAAAACAGATGCTCAGAGGATATATACTTTAATTATTAAGATTGTTAATAGGACAACTCCCAGATTCTACTAAGGAAAAATTGCATCCTTCAAAATATTGTTTATTACTCTAATATAAACCAAGTACTTAAAAATGTGCCAAATTGCCACTTTATGACTTAAAAGTATTAATAACATTTTGACAACTTACATATCTACAAACTGATATTTCAGTCAGAAATCTTATAAGATAATGAATATATTAGAAAATGATACACAGAAATTATTTATTTTGCATATAAAACTTCTTTTACACTCTGGCTTTTACTGCTACTGTACTACCAGTCACAAGCTGATATACTAATTTAATTCTCAATAAGGCACCATAAGGCATCTGCTTGATAGCATATATTTATATTTGAAGTTTGTTAACATGTTATTTTCTAAAACTGTTTAACTTGCATTTTGAGGGATTTTCCTCTGTAAGTTGTATGTCTAAGCAAATAGAGTTTAACTACACATTTCAGAAAAGAAATGGAAATATCTAGATAATGACTTTATAGCTTAGTTTTGGAAAATAATTGACTATTAGTATCTTTAAGTATGGAGCTTCTCTGGTGACGAAGTTGGTAAAAAATCCACTTGCAATGCAGGAGACCTGGGTTTGATGCTCAGTGTAGGAGACCAGGCTTGATCTCTGGGTTGGAAAGATCCCCTGGGGGAGGGCATGATAAACCACTCCAGTATTCTTGCCTGGAAAATTCCATGGACAGAGAAGCCTGGTGGGCTACAGTCCATGGGTTCAGAAGAGTCAGACATGATTTGGTGACTAAACCACCACCATCACCATCTTTATGTATAATGGTGATTCTTAATGACTCAACCATTTAGGGGTGATGGAAGCCTTCCTAATAATCTGCAGAACACTAGAAATATAGTTTTTCATTTTTAAAATATAAGACTTATAAAACATTATTCCAGAGGTTTTCATTTTTTCCTCCAATAGAGAGTTACTTCCTGAGAGGGTTAAACTAGGAGTTACTTAAAGTGACTAAAATGTATTATTTGTAAGGTAAAAATTAGTGTTACTAAAAATTAAAATAGTTTAAAAATTAATTTAAAATTTCATTTAAAATACTTAAAATTTCAAGTACTTCAGAGTCAGTATTCTCCTAGAGTCTGCAGCAATATGGCAAAACTCATCCTACTCCAGATGTAATGAGATGGTTAGATTTCCTGCAATTTTTGTGGAGAGTGTTTTAATAGGGTGTCATTAGTGTTGTGAATTGGTTACAGTTTTCCATTGCAACTTTCTTATATTTGTTAATTTATTTGTCAAATTATTCTTTGATTTTTAAAAATTGCTTTCTTATGTTATTACTGAACCGTTCATATTTGATTGCAATTTTGTTTCTTTATAATTTTTTTCTGAGCTTTTTTTTTTTTTTGTACTTCCCTTGGAAAAGTGTGAGCTGGGTTTGGAAGTTCTTTCATCCTATAGTAGCAGGATTCTATAATATGTGAGACTTGTTACTGTAAGAAGTTAGCCAGATTACTCAATTGATTTAGAATACTTTAACTTCCTAATGTTATATGTTCAAAACCACACTGGAATGTATTCAGCTTTTATTCCATTTCTCCTTTTGTTCTTTTACCTGTTTTAGAATCATCTGGACAGAAGTTTCCCTTGGTATCAGAGTCACAAGTGTCTCATTTATAACCATGGGGAAAGATACAATAAAGTATCCTATAGATATTCAGAGATAGTATTACTGTTGATAATGTTCCAGAATCATAATTTCTCCTTTAATTAAAAAAAAAAAGCTGCAATACATTCTATACTGCTTGTTGAATACATGTAAAAAATGTTAACAGCACATGGCCCATTTCTCCTAATAGATGATGCTTAGTCTGAAAATTGGCATTAAAATAATATTGTGGTAGTTTGTTCCAACAAGATGGAAAGTTCTAATAGGTAGAAATCTTTCTGTTGAACTTACTATGATAAACTCTGATTATTTTTAAAAACTAATAAATTTTGAATTAATGAATGCACAGAGGTCAAAATGGATAAGATCCTGCTGTGGAGTCTCCTATTGACTTTTTCTGGAAGTCAAGCCTCAAGCCCCTTGGCTCAAAGAAATACTGAATTTGTAGTGGATCTTTATCAAGCTGTTGGTTTATCTCATAAGAACAACATCATAATTTCACCTCTTGGAACAACTTTGGCCCTTGGAATGATACAACTGGGAGCAAAAGGAAAAGCACAACAGCAGATAAGACAAACTTTAAAATTTCAGGAAACCTCAACTGGTAAAATTCTTCCACATGATTATTTACACTGGATAAGATCTGGACAAATTTATTTTCAAACTATTAGAGAAGCTAAGGGTTATACAACTTTAGTAAGTTTTAAAAGTTATGAAAGGTATAAAATTATAATAATATGGAGAATTTTAAATGCAAATAATTGTCAATGTAAGCAATTTTATTGTTTCTTAAGGAAAATATTACAAAAATAATTTATAAAAAATTGATTCTATATACATGAAAATTGTGACTATGTCAGTAATATTTTCTTCTGGCCTGTTTTGGCCAGTTTTCATTGAGATCATGTGTGTGTGCCTGTGCGTGTGTATGAGTGGATATACACCCATGTATATGTATACATATATCCTTCCACTAGTACTTACTGTGTTCTGATTGTTTTTTTCATATCATGCAATTGCTTCAGAGTATATTTTTAATTGCTGCATTTTATTGTCTCTAATGGAAACATCATTGCATATTTACCTAATCCTTCCTGATTAAGTAGTTTCCAGTACTTCTTTTATAAAAATGCTTCAGTGAGCAACCTCACCCAGAAATCTTTGTGTGTCTCTCATTATTTTGTAGGCTTTTAAAAAAATAGCTTTTTAATTGAGATTACCTTTTTCACTTAAATGAGACCAAGAAAAAGCATTTACTTGTGCAGTTTCAAAGCTTCTTTAATAGCTTCTAAATATTTGTTAAAAGGATCATTTACATGACTCATCAGAGACCCTTTCGTATATGAGTGGTTGTTATCTAGTCTCTCAATGGCCTATCTGAGACACCGTGTAGATGCTTTAGTGTTGGTACCCCATCTTAAGGGGTGGTTGTCCATCTCCCTAGCTATCCTGGGCTTCCAAGTTCCATAATGATTTGAATTTTAAAGTTTGATATCACTGTCAGATATCGTGTCCTAAATATTAGAGGCGATATCCAGATTTTTTTGGGGGGGGTGTTTAATTACTGTAACTGTAACTAATTTCAGCATGTCTGCCCTGGCATAGAATCGTTGTTGTTGTTGTTTAGTTTCTAAGTTGTGTCTGACTCTTTTTGACCCCATGGACTGTAGCCCACCAGGTTCCTCCGTCCATGGAATTCTCCAGGCAAGAAGACTGGAGTGGGTTGCCATTTCCTTCTCCAGCGGGTCTTTCCAACCATGTCTCCTGCATTGAGGGCAGATTCTTTTCGCTGAGCCACTAAGGAAGCCCAGCATAGAGTAGTTACATTTAGGAAACTGTTTTCCTGAATAAACTATTTACCAAGTTCTATTTGCTTCATTTTAAGGCAATTTTATGTAGAAAAGAAACTGGTGATAGTGAAGTTACTTGACAGAGTTCTCCGTTGTGGATAATGTAAAATGAAGTCACTGTATTCCAGATCTAGTCTTCATTGTCTGTGTTAATTTCAGTAAATCCCACGACACAGTCCCAGAAATATTTACATCACATGATATTGCTTTGAAAAGTAATAGAACATTCATGAAAATGTTAAAGTTGATTCCATGATAAACTAGCAAAATTAGAGCCTCTGAAATTTAAATTACTGTAAATGAATCCATCTTACAGAGGAACATGGGAGTCTTAACAATTCTGGACTGTGAACATAATAATAACAATGTTAAAGTATCAAATATATATAGTGTACCGGTCACTGTTTTATGTACTCAATATACTTTATTTTATTTACTCTTCACAGTTACTCTGTGAGCCAGACATATACCTGCTATACAGATGAGGACACAAAGGCAAAGAAAGTTTGAGTAACTTGCCCAGAACTAATTCCAAAAATGATTCACTGACGGTTATAGATCACAAGAGCAACAATGAACATTTTAATGTTTTCTTTAAAAGAGTATACATGCATCATTAAACATTAACTTTGTAACATACATAACAAAATCTACCAAACTCGCTATGTCTTGTTGTTGTTGTTGTTGTAGCTGTTCAGTCATTCAGCCCATGTCTGACTCTTTGCAACCCCATGGACCACAGCATGCCAGGCTTCCCTGTCATTCACCGTCTCCCGGAGCTTGCTCAAACTCACGTCTATCGAGTTGGTGATGCCATCCCACCATCTTAGCCTCTGTCATCCCCTTCTCTTCCTGCCTTCAGCCTTTCCCAACATCAGGGTCTTTTCCAAGGAGTCGGCTCTTTGCATCAGGTGGCCAAAGTGCTGGACCTTCAGCTTCAGTCCTTTCAATGAATATTCAGGGTTGATTTTCTTTAGAATTGACTGGTTGGATCTCCTTGCCACTATCTCTTATACTTTGTTAAAGGAGAGAAAGGCGCAGATGGGGGGTAAGTGCAAAAAGAAAAGGAAGACCAACCAAAAAAAGGAGAAAATATAAATATTAAACTCTGGAAAATTTTTAGAAAGAAGTTAAGGAGGAGAGCAGAGAGGAAAAAGTGCGGGAAGATGAAAACAAAGAGATGCAAAATGATTTCAGGGTAAAACAAAGGGTGCAACAGATCAGAAGGTAGTGCCTGGCAGGGCCATACTGGAACTCAGGGCAAAAATAAAGATCAGTAATTATGATCTTGCCTTTAAATTTTTATGTTTTGTTCATCATGGATTTCTTTGTGTTAATATTGATATTTAAAATATATTTCAGTAAAATATTGTTTATCCTGATTACTAAATTTGTTGCCACCTCCTTAAACTTTATGCCAAAATGAGGGTCTCATTGACCCATCTTGGTCCTGGCCCTGCCTTCAGTTCCCTCTGATTGTCAAATGGTCCTATCTGTTGAATCAGGCTATATTTACCTTCCCTGCTACCAACCTGTTTCACAACCTGCTTATTCTGCAGATGGGCTTATAGCTCCTGGCATCCTACCCACACTGGAGCTCTCAGCGTCCTCACTTACTCTTCTTTCCCCATCGCTAAAACAATCTGTTCAGAATTTACCTTCTCCTGTTTACTGAGCATCTGATAATACTCCATTTTGCATTGCCTCTAATAAAGTTGCTTATTGATTGAAGACTAGCTTAAAGGTATTTCTTTATTCTAAGCAGTTTATGGAAAGAGAACTGCCATAAACTCCTGGCTCAGTTATGCATCCAAATGACCCTGTGATGGGGCACCTTTCAAGCTAGCTTATCTCTCTAGATTTTAGATTCTTCATTATAAAATATGGATTAGATGATTTCTATGGGCTTCCCTGGTGGCTCAGATGGTAAAGAATCCACCTGCAATGCGGAAGACTTGGGTTTGATCCCTGGGTTGGGAAGATACCCTGGAGGAGGGCATGGCAACCCACTCCAGTATTCTTGCCTGGAGACTATCCATGGACAGAGCAGCCTGTGGGGTCTACAGTTCATTGGGTCACAAAGAGTCGGACACGACTGAGCGACTAAGCACTGCACAGCACACACGGACCTTTAAGCTAAAACAATCTATAATCCTGTGACTGCCTTTGTTTTCATCTTTGGATCTCTCACATTGTACACACAGTTGGCCTTCGGGCTTTCAATAGCAGGAGAAGTAAACATGTACTAAAGTTTAGAACTTTTTGGAGGTCTGGTACAACCAAACCAAAAGTCACATTCACTCCATGACCTATAGGTTTTCCATGGCCTTATTTTAGGAAATGAAATAAACTTACTGCTTATTAGGATTCATGTATATGTATTCTTTTTGATCTATGCTAAAAAAAGCTATTAATCTGTAAATTAAATTTATAAGGCAGATAACTTTATATTCTCCAAACTTGTGCTATTGGTGATGTTTTTTTCATTGACTTCTGAGTCCAGCAATTTATCAAAGAGCAGCTAACTGTCATACAGTCTTAGACCTAAAGTACATGACATAAATTTATTTGCTCTGACAAATGAGTTGGAACTATTTTTTTTCCTCCTCTCCTTTTTTCTCCCAATCCTTTAAAGATGTTCATAAATTATGAACTGAACTTCTGAAAATTGGTTTCAAAGTTTGCCATTTTATTCCTGACTTTAATTAATTCTTTTGGAGAAGCTGTCATGTCTTCACTCAGAAAGTCATCTTGGTAACTTTTCAGCTCTTGAGATCATATTTCAGCTTCCAATAGCAAGAAGTGATTGCATCTGAAATAATTGTATAAATAAGTAAAATAGATTAACATTCTTCATTATGTAAGGAATTCCAGAGTTGTAAAGAATCACTGATATTCTTCAGATCCAATCATATGGAAGAAAGTTTTTGTATCTAAAATTGTTTACATCTATGTCTATATCCCCATGAATGGAGAATCACGGCGTTTGAAATGTAATGCAGTATACCTTCCAAGTCTGTTCTGTGGTTATGTAGGCTGAATTTGCACAAGAGAACCTTCCCAGATGGCTCAAAAGGGTTTGATCCCTGGGTTAGGAAGATCCCCTGGAGTAGGAGATAGCAACCCATCCAGTACTCTTGCCTGGAAAATTCCATGGACAGAGAAGCCTGGAGGGCTACAGTCTCTGGGGTCACAAAAGAGCTGGACACAATGAACCAGAACCAAAGGACAAGTGGGGACTGAAATGTGGCCTTCACTTAGCTGGACAAGATATGAGGTAATGGGGACCCCCCACCACCACCCAGGTGAGAGCACACCTTATTTGCACAAGGATGTCCTATGGGCTAGGAGCTCTCTGATATTAATAAAATGTTTACACACACATGTACACATCTGATTTCCAATAGACACCTGACAGCAAGTTCATCTCAGTCTTTTATTCTTTATTCAGTGGACATTTCCCCATGATGAACCATTTGTGTTTTCTTCAGTAGAGATAAATTGCATGCAATCAAAGTTTAAGTTGTGAAAGTGGTATTTTCAGTATTTAACTCAAAGTAAACAAAGGCTCTGAAGAACTGTGGATTTGAAATACAGTTCCCAGATTTAATGATTGAGTTCCAAAATTAAGCCAGAAGGAAACATAAAATATTGGTGCCTTCTGGTAATAAATTGGAAGCCCCTGAGCAATGATCAGAGCGGAATTCTTTCATAGCACATACACCTTTCTGACAACACTGTAGTCAGAATGACCCAACGATAAATAGGTATAGGCCGACAGTGATTCTTAGCTGACTCTAAGACCACTCTAGTGGTTAGAGTTGGAATGGTTAAGGACTTTTATTGTTCACATAGACAACCAAAGTATAGAGACTCATGTTTTATAGAAACAGGCAATTCTGATCCCTAGCATCTCTAGAGATGATTACAGGGGTTACCTCATAAATTTCAAAACTTGGACAGGCACAGTTCCTCATAAGAGAGCAATTCTTTCTTAAACTGAAATAAAAGTACTATTGAAAAGGATTGCTCATCACTGTCTTAGCCCTCATCAGTATTCATTAGTATTCCTCCTTCACAAATATCTCATGTTATGCATAGAATGAGACTCTAAAGATACCTTTCCAACAACTAAGAATGAGCTAAATTTAACTATAAAGAAGGAGTTTCCTTCAACCTTTTAAAATGCATATTCTCATTTTTGACAAATTTCAAATTTACATGGACATTTTTTTCCTGTAGGAGAGCTGGTTTCTCTACAAAATGCATGTTCCACAAGAGATAAATGCTTAAAATATTTATACTAACTTAGAAAATATCGTTAGTTGTACCTTAGGGTGCTAAAAAATGGTGATATGAATCAGTGCTTAGAAGTAAAGCTGAGAAGCTGTTGTTTTTATGTTGTTCAGTATGTCAGTGTACATTATAATTATTTTTCAGGAGAAGAATTTTCTGAGCTGAAGTCATTTTTCTCTGCCATCTCAGAGAAAAAACAAGAATTTACATTTAATCTTGCCAATGCCCTCTACCTTCAAGAAGGATTCACTGTGAAAGAACAGTATCTCCATGGCAACAAGGAATTTTTTCAGAGTGCCATAAAACTGGTGGATTTTCAGAATGCAAAGGCTTGTGCAGAGACAATAAGTACCTGGGTAGAAAGCAAAACAGATGGTAAAGTTTCCCATTTCCATAAAGTCATTATTTGCCATTGTATTCATGGTTTTTAATATACTAAAGTAAAGAATGATTGAATATTTTCCTATTAAACTATGGCTCATAGGGATCAGTTCCTCTGTTTTGCTTCCCTGTTATTCAAATTAACACTAAATTATAAAATAGAGAGAAACTGTAAGCTGCTTTGAAAACTATACAGATTTTTCTTGGACAGGTAACCTGTTTGAGAATTCTTACTGGAAGAATTTTAATAGTAATCTTTTGTTAAAGTGTGTTTTTTTAAGTATGGCAGCAGGAATAATATCTTAGGCCAGATAAGACTTAGATCTGTCAATCTCAGATGACTTCTTTCCCACATACACTGTAAATAATTAACACATATTAGTTGGCTGTGTTAATGTTTCATAATAAACATTGATAGTTCTATCATAAAGTTGTAATCTAAACTTTTAAGTATAAGCTAGCAGAAATTCCAAAGGCACTACTGAGAGACATAGTAGAACACAAGTTTAAGCTGATATGGGTCTGAGTTCAAATCCTGACAAGTTCTAAGCCATGCCCCATTTAAAATGAGGATACTGTTACAATGTTCCAGGATTATTGAAAGATTCAAAAGAATGTGTGTGAAGAGACCAGTATATATCAGGCCCTCAATTTATAGCAACTTGTTTCTTCATTCATTCATTCTGCTATTTAACACAAAAACAACTGTGATGTGTAAGATGAGATTCTGTTTTATGTGGGGAGCCTCTGATGGAGAAGCATAGGTTGAAAATGTGAGATGGGTATTGTGAGCACTGTTCAGAGGCAAGTACTATTACTGGGATACACATTAAGAGCATCCATAGACAGCTCCAAGGCACCTGATCATGCTGTTGACTCATAGCTTTGAAATACTTATTAGACATAGAAATCAGAGACTGGTTTTTTGCAAGAGGCACATCACATTAGCAACTCCATTCTTACCCTTTGTCAGTGGTCAGTGGCTATAGATGCAATAGCAGAGAATTTGAGTGGACCGCTAATTTATTAATTCTGATTGACTTGCTGAAGAACTTTGAAATAAAGCTTGAAAAATAACAACAGATATGTAGGAAGAGATACTTGATTTTGTTCCTTCTGTCTGAAAAGCAATTTACACAATTGATTTCACCAAAGAGCAGCCATTGCTAGGTCTGTCTAAACTTGTCTAAGATAATTCTGTATCTCCTGTTTCCTAATGAAGCCCTGTTTGTACCTGTTTCTTTGTGAATATTTAATAAAGCTCCTCCTTAACGCCTCCAAAATTGTCAAGTTTAAATGATAAAGCACCCTATTTTTAATTGATTAGCAAGGTAAATTTTTGTTTTAATTCAATTTAAAGCAGTTCTTTGAATCACTGTTGCATGTTTCTTTCTGCCTCTTCCTCTATTCCCTTCCCAGGAAAAATTAAAGACATGTTTTCAGGGGAAGAATTTGGTCCTCTGACTCGGCTTGTTCTGGTGAATGCTATTTATTTCAAAGGGGATTGGAAACAGAAATTCAACAAAGAAGACACACAACTGATGAATTTCACTCTGAAAGATGGCACAGCAGTCAAAATTCCAATGATGAAGGCTCTTCTGAGAACGAAATACGGTAATATGAAAAAAAAGTCACACTCTAAAGGACAACTTTGGGAATTGCTAAGAACATTAATATTTTATTTTCTCTGTTTCAGGTTATTTTTCTGAATCCTCCATAAACTACCAGGTTTTGGAATTACCTTATAAAGGTGATGAGTTTAGTTTAATTATCATACTTCCTGCCGAACACATGAACATAGAGGAAATGGAAAAGCTAATTACTGCTCATCAAATCCTGCAATGGTTCTCTGAGATGCAAGAACAGGAAGTGGAAATAAGCCTTCCTAGGTTGGTAATGTCATTTTATCACTCTGGTTCTTATGTTTTCACTTATAGATGGATTTCAATAGCTGGCTGAAAGATAACTAATGCTTGAAAGTCTACTGACAAAAAGAAAAAGAAAAACCCGTTAGGAATTGTTACTCTACTTTATTCATACAAAGCAGGTCTGAACATTGCCAGCATTGTTTTGCCATGAGGAGGATAGAATTTAAGTACTTAATATTCTCTGAAAAGAATGAAGAAATATGTCTTCAAAACAGAATGCTGGGATTAAAAAGAATTATTACTCTTTTTATTATACAAACTTATTTTTCTCTAACATTTTTTTTCTGGTTGAAATTTAAAATATTTTATCTTCTCTTGTGTTTAAGGAAAATAAAATCCCCAAGACACATGTGATATTATATAGTTAAAAAACATGTTGTTACCTTTGATAGAGCATGCTCTCAGTTCAGTTCAATTGTTCAGTTGTGTCTGACTATCTGCGACCCCATGGACTGCAACATCCCAGACTTCCTTGTCCATCACCAACCCCCAGAGCTTACTCAAACTCATGTCCATTGAGTCGGTGATGCCATCTAACCATCTCATCCTCTGTCGTTCCCTTCTCCTCTTGCTTTCAATCTTTCCCAGCATCAGGGTCTTTTCCAGTGAGTCAACTCTTTGCATAATGTGGTTAAAGTATTGGAGTTTCAGCTTCAGCATCAGTCCTTCCAATGAATACCCAGGATTGATCTCATTTAGGATGGACTGGTTGGATCTCCTTGCAGTCCAAGGGACTCTCAAGAGTCTCCAACACCATATTTCAAAAGCATCAATCCTTCGGCGCTCAGCTTTCTTTATAGTTCAACTCTCACATCCATACATGACTACTGGAAAAACCATAGCCTTGACTAGATGGACCTTCGTTGGCAAAGTAATTGGTCATAACTTTTCTTCCAAGGATCAAGCTTTTTTTAATTTCATGACTGCAGTCACCATCTGCAGTGATTTTGGAGCCCCCAAAAAAATAAAGTCTCTCACTGTTTCCATTGTTTCCCCATCTATTTACCATGAAGCGATGGGACCAGATGTCATGATCTTAGTTTTCTGAATGTTGAGTTTCAAGCCAACTTTTTCACTCCCCTCTTTCACTTTCATCAAGAGGCTCTTTTGTTCTTCTTCACTTTCTGCCATAAGGGTGGTGTCATCTGCATATCTGAGGGTATTGATAGTTCTCCCAGCAGTTTTGATTCCAGCTTGTGCTCCATCCAGCTCAGTATTTCTCATGCATATATATTAATTAAGCAGGGTGACAATATACAGCGTTGACATACTCCTTTCCCGATTTGGAACCACTCTGTTTTTCCACATCCAGTTCTGTTACTTATTGACTGGCATACAGATTTCTCAGGAGGCTGGTCAGGTGGTCTGGTATTCCCATCTCTTGAAGAATTTTCCCCAGTTTGTTGTGATCCACACAGTGAAATGCTTTGGTGTAGTCAATAAAGCAGATGTTTTTCTGGAACTCTATTGCTTTTTTGACAATCCAGTGGATGTTGGCAATTTGATCTCTGGTTCCTCTGACTTTTCTAAATCCAGCTTGAACATCTGAAAGTTCACAGTTCACGTACTGTTGAAATCTGGCTTGGAGAATTTTGAGCATTGCTTTGCTAGTGTATGAGATGAGTGAAATTGTGTGGTAGTTTGAGCATTCTTTGGCATTGCCCTTCCCTGGGATTGGAATGAAAACCGACCTTTTTCAGTCCTGTGGCCACTGCTGAATTTTCCAAATTTGCTGGCATATTGAGTGCAGCACTATCACAGCATCATCTTTTAGGATTTAAAATAGCTCAATTGGAATTCCATCACCTCCTCCAGCTTTCTTTGTAGTGATGCTTCTCAAGGCCCACTTGACTTTGTATTCCAGGATGTCTGGCTCTAGGTGAGTGATCACACCCTTGTGGTTATCTGGGTCATGAAGATCTTTTTTGTATAGTTCTGTTTATTGCAATCTCTTCTTAATATCTTCTGCTTCTGTTAGGTCCATACCATTTCTGTCGTTCATTGCACTCATCTTTGCATGAAATGTTCCCTTGGTATCTCTAATTTTCTTGAAGAGATCTCTAGTCTTTCCCATTCTATTATTTTCCTCTATTTCTTTGCATTGATCACTGAAGAAGGCTTTCCTATCTCTCCTTGCTATTCTTTGGAACTCTGCATTCAAATGGGTATATCTTTCCTTTTCTCTCTTGCCTTTAGCTTCCCTTCTTTTCTCAACTATTTGTAAGGCCTCCTCAGACAACCATTTTGCCTTTTTGCTTTTATTTTCTTGGGGATGTCCTTGATCACTACCTCCTGTACAATGTCATGAATCTCCATCCATAGTTATTCAGGCACTCTGTCTATCAGATCTAATGCTTTGAATCTGTCACTCCTACTATATAATCATAAGGGATTTGATTTAGGTCATACCTGAATGGCCTAATGGTTTTCCCTTCTTTTTAAAATTTAAGTCTGAATTTGGCAATGAGGAATTCATGATCTGAGCCACAGTTAGCTCCTGGTCTTGTTTTTGCTGTCTATATAGAGCTATATAGACTGTATAGAAGGTGTATAGATGCCATACACTGTTTAGACTGTATAAAGGGTATATATATATGTATAGACTGTATAGAGGATGCTCTAACAGTCATTAAATTATAAGTAGGATCCAAGGATAATATTTATTATTGGGGTATTTATATATATATTTAAAACTTCTCATTTTTATACAATTTTAAAGGTTACTTCCCATTTATAGTTATTACAAAATATTGGGTTCATTTTGGATAGTTATTACAAAATGGAAATCACAAAGGCGTATCTCAAGAAGCCATAATTATAAACACTAACTTCTTGATATCAAGCTTCTGGGAGACAGGAGAAACTTCAGAGCAAAAGGTGTGTCTAAATAACTCTCAATCTGAACTTTTAAAAGGAGACATGTCTAATAGATTATTTTCTGTCCTATCATTTCTAAATTTTTCTTCAAACTTCCAGGGCCTGCATGGTCTGTGCCCCATTTTCCTGGCCCTCTGTCTCTCCACCTGCTTGAATTTTCTTTCTGTTTGCACTTAGCTAGGATCTAGTTAGTTGTTTGAATTGCACTGTCACCAAACATTTGACTTATTTTTGTCACCTGTCTCTGCTCCTTTGTAATTATCTCCTCATCCTGAATCCTGAATCTACTCAAAAAGTCTCTTGGATTCCTTAACTACTGGTTTTGTTAAGGAAAATTCCCAAAGCAGTCACTCTGGCCTCCCTTAGGCTGGAGCTTAACAGTCTATCTTCAGAGAATGTTCTTTTCTAACACTCCACCAAGACTTTACCTATGCTCTCCAGGTACTGCTTCATGTTGATTATCTTACTCTCAATGTATGTCTCAAATCCCTATTTCTTAAATAAAACATACTATTATGTAAACTCACCTCTCTACCCTTCATCTCAAAAATTGTATAAATCTTTGCTAATCTTCTCTTCCTATATCTTCCTTGATACTCAGGAGAAAGAGGTATCCTATGCTTTCTTCACCCTAACACTGGGCTCTTGATCCACATATTTTTAACCATCCCTTTTATTTAAAAAAAAAAAGAAAATGTTCTTTGTTTAACCCCCTGGCATTACTTTTATTTATTTTTCTCTCTTTCTGTGAAATTTTCCTGCTCCCTGACTTATACAATTTTTCTTTCTGTCCCCAGATAATGTTTACCAGATTTAATTTTCAGATATTTCCTATTCCTACTCTCTCTCTTTTTATTTTTGTTCCTTATATTTCATGTCTCTAATATCCAACTCTTGAGTTCCAATCTCTCTTCTAATTCCCTACTGTCTATAAATTTCTACCTGGATGTTATTTGGTCTTTCAGAGTTTTTTTTTTTAGCTCCTACTATGTGCCAAACATTGGGTATATAATGGTGTATGTGACAGATAATTTGCTTATTAATCATAGAAATAGTAATTTTTGAAATTGTTTGTTTTCAAATTTACTTCTCTCTCGCTTCCCATTGGGAAGATTAATAGGAAAGGACATACATAGAAATCCCTGAGTTTGAGGAGTGTCTATACTATGTACTAGCAGTGGGGTCTTAGGAGAGTCACTGATGTCCTGAGTTGTGGTTTTATTAGCACAAAATGGAGATAATGGTACCTATAACCAAGATGGCTCCAGCTTCATCAATCTAGACATCAAATGTCTAGGTAGGAATGAGGTAAGTTCCAAGATCAATTGACAATAGAAAATATAGGCTTTCACCAGAATTCCTTTCTCTACCATATTAGGAATCCCCACAGCAATGGTTCACGGTCCACAAATCCATCTAGACTACTGCCGTCTTGACAGCCCTTTTCAAACTTCAAGACCTGTCATTAGCCTCTCCAAACTGTAGCCACGTTTCTCATACAACTTCTCCCAAAGCATGGACACAGACTTTGCTTTTAATTTCTCCAAGAACAACTGCTATGAGTTGAATTATGTGCTTCTCAAATTTGTATGTTGAAGTGCTAACTCCCACTACATCAGAATGTTTTCTTATTTGGAGATAGAATCTTTGTAGAAGTAATCAAGTTAAAGTGAAGTCATCAGGGTGGACTCTAATCCCACGTGACTCCTTTATAAAAAGGAGAAATTTAGATTCAAAGATACACAAGCAGGGAAGGTGTTGTGAAGAGATACAGGGTGAAGATGGCCATCTACAAGTCAAGGGGAGAGGCTGGAATAGATGTTTTCCTCACAGCTCTCAGAGGAAACCAATCCTTGATTGGCAGATGCCTTGATTTTGGACTTCCAAACTACAGAACTGTGAGACAATATGTTTCTGTTACTGAAGCCACATAGTTTGTAGTAATGTGTTAAGGTAGCCTTTGGCAAGTCTATACAAGTAAGAGCAACTTCAATGTTTAACTAAACTCTACTGAAATCTAATATGGGGTTTTCCTGGTGGTTGAGACGGTAAAGAATCTGCCTCAGTGCAAGAGACCAGGGTTC